CGAAGCCAAAGAATGGAAACTCGATGTCGTCAAGCTCTGGGATCCTACACCCTTGGCTCTAGACATACTTGCTCAAAGTGGGCTTGATTTCGAGGTCGTAGAACGGAAGAACGACAGTATTGCTAGCCTTCTTTGGTACGATGCAGATGGTGGTGTCAGTGACGAGAGGCCATTGTGGCTGAACAACGAGCACTACGCGTGGCAATAGGAGTTGGAAGACCTGATGCCGATGACATTCGAGTCGTACATGTAGTGCTGGTTCAACTGCACAGTTCTTGCGTTTACCCTACGAGAGAGGTTTCGATGAAAAGTCTGGGACAAGATCGTTGATCATCTTTCTCCTCTCGAACTCACCGTGGAACAATTCGCTACCAGTCGCGTCGCCTTGTGACTACATCGCGTTGAGCATAGCGCAGTGGCGGTCCAGTACCACAACTCAGTTTAACAAAGTAGGACTCTTCTTTCACGCCTATATCGAGAACTGCACGGGCTGCTGTATTTCAATTGCTCGCGCCATGACCCAGATACATTTGAGTTTTCGTTTTTGATGGCAGTACTGGAGTGTACCCAGGTGTGTCAGCCCCCACAGCGCCAGGGCAAACTCTCGTCATCGGAGAGGAAGTAGACTTACCTGTGATGATGTTCTCATCAAGCGCGACGTCGCTTTGATGGATTTTCGGCGCGCTTTGCAATTCCCAATAAGCGGGCAGCATCAGAGTGGTTCGAGCTGGTGGGTCGACATGCCAGCAAGAGTGGGGTATCCACTGCGGACGCCAATCTGTATTTGTGGAGTGAGCACTGGGCAGGTCGCGCAGGCGTTTGCGAGATCAAGAACGTACATTTTCCGGTGAATCGAATGTGCGAGTATGCACAGCGTCAGCGATGTCACGTACTGCTATTGGTTGAGGTTTGCAAACCCCGCTTCTGTGCCACCTGCTCGCGGGTTTGAAGCACTAGGTATCGACACACTATTTGTTTGGTTCAAACCTCCCTCATGCAGCTTACACAGGGAGCAGACAATCTCGGAAGCTGCAAACTGCCTAGGTGTACTCGACCCTAACTCTCAAACACGTCGTATAGTCATCGATTTCCAACTGCGATCTACCAACCTCATTCGAATCCAGACTTGTTCAACCCAACGGATCAACTTTAGCTTCTCTTTTCAACCGTCATGTTTTCTCCAAGTAATACGGATAACCGAGAAGCGGACGAGCAAGACAAACCAGGAGTAAACCAGAACCCGCACGAGTCAGCTGCAGACTCACCGGTGCCATACTCGCTTTTCACAAAGAACGAACGATACGGAATTGTTGCTATGATCACCCTGGCAGCCTGGTTCTCGACTCTGAGCAGTTTCATTTATTACCCTGCCCTTCCGATGGTTGCCAAGGATCTGGACTCGTCGATTACGATGATCAACCTTACCGTCACGTCCTACTTGGTCGTATCTGCCGTCGCTCCCGCGGTTGTCGGAGATGCAGCTGACATGTTTGGACGCCGACCCGTTTACGCAGTCACCCTTCTGCTGTATGTCGCCGCGAACGTTGGGCTTGCAATGCAACACTCAGCTGTGGCACTCTTACTGCTACGCATGGTGCAAAGTGCAGGGATATCTGGCATGTGGCCCCCGCCAGGTTCTTGACGAGCATGAATGTGCAGCAAGCTGACAACTGTGAACCAAAATCAGGCGCTTTCTCCATCTCATATGGTGTTATCGCCGACATCTCAGCACCAAGTGAGAGGGGGGCCTTTGTATCTGCTGTTTCATTTGGGTGAGTGAAATCGCTACACAGCGTCACACTCTAGATCAGCTTCTTTTGACACTCGATAGGATCACCACCGCGCCAAGCCTGGGCCCGGTCATAGGTGGCGCATTTGCCTCCGGTCCTGGTTGGAGATGGATATTCGGATTTCTAGCCATCGTGTCCGGCTTTTGTTTGGTCACACTATTACTCGCCTTACCGGAGACCAATCGGAGCATCATCGGGAACGGCGGTATCAAACCTTCAAAGCTATTGGAGCCTGTCATCAGAGGTATCATGCGGCCATGGGACGGCCAGCGCGGCCCGAGTACTCCGCCCCCACCCCTTCAAGTCAAGAGAATACCGAATCCAATCATGAGTCTTCGCGTATTGTCACGCAAAGACGTGGCTGTAAGCATTATGCCTGGAAGTTTCTTGTACACTGTTTACTGCTGCATTCACACATCACTGTCGACAACCTTTATGCAGGTCTACCATCTCAAAGAATGGCAAGTCGGCCTGTCATATCTTCCATTTGGTGTCGGCGCGATTCTTGCGACTTTGATCTCCAGCAAGTGGATAGACCGAGACTATCGTATTGTAGCGAAGGCCCATGGCTTGCCCGTGACTAAAATGTCTGGGGATGATTTGTTGAATTTTCCCATTGAAGAAGCTCGTATGAGGAGCGCATTCGCGCCCGTCTTTTGTGCTTTTGCCTCCATCTTGGTCTATGGCTGGCTGGTCAATGAGCGTCTAGTGAGCAGAGTGGCGTCCCGAAGGGTTTCATTCGTTGGCTGACACGCCTTAGCACCTTGCAGGACCTCTGATCTGCCTTTTCTTTGCGGGCCTTTCTATCCAGACTTGCTTCAACGTAAAAGCCCTCAGCTACAGTTCATGATAGCCCATCGCTAACTGTCTTAGATCAACAACACTCTACTGGTTGATATCAATCAAGACATGCCAGCAACGGCTCAGGCTTCGTCCAATATCGTCCGTTGTGCCCTTTCTACCGTCATGATAGCCGTTCTCCAATATCTCATAGATTCTATAGGTTTTGGCTGGACCTTCGTTATCATGAGTTCGTTTTGCCTCATTGCCGGTTTCTTTTACTTCATCGAGCTAAGATTTGGACGAAGGTGGAGACTGGCCCGGAATGGGTTGACGATTCACTAGGTAAGATGCAAAATCGCACTTAGTGCAGAAATGGGAAGTCTTCAGCCATTGGTTTGTACAGGCCGGAAATTACGAACACATGTCTCATTCTCCCTGATACCCGTTCGGATACTTTTCCAGAATTCGCTGCATATCCGCAATGGCCCTGCTTTATATTAGTGGATCCGTGCGTGGTAAGAATAGTCGGTGCGTACATCTTTCGAAAGTTGCTGTTGTCCGAGTACAAGGCTGAGGCGCAAAAGTGTCCGTTTCTTCGTTACGTTAGCGGCAAAGACATTGGTCTTGGCTGGTTTGTTTACATAGCATAAAGAAGGTTGCGATCCTCGTAGTCATCTTCGGGTTCTGTTATCGGAAAGAACTTGTGATATTCTCGCATCCACTGCCGGCCGAGCTTGTAGCGCGGGGTGGCCATACTCCCGACATCGTCTTTTTTTATCGAAAATCATCTCGTCAGTCCCATTACAACTTCAACAATAGAGTAGCTGCTTACATTCATTATGACCCCAGAATACAGATGGGTCAAAGTATACTGGGTCACCGGTAGCTGCATTGGTACCCATGTTACCGCACCAAATGTTGCCATGGAGTGCAACAGGTTTGAGACTTCGACCATGAGTGTTCAGGGGTCGAAGAAGGCGAGGAATGACCTTCTCTTTGAGACCAAGTACCAATCTTTCAATCTCTTCACTTGGACCCTGCGATATCAACTCCTGGTCGACAAAGGACTGAAAGCGGCGGCTGTAGAGCTCCTCCCATGTCTCACTCCATGTCAGATCCTGATACATACTTCCTTCGTGGGTCATGACATGGTAACCGAACTTCGTCGGAGCTTTCGGGTCCATCATGCTGTCGTGGTGGAGTTTAGCAAGCATGGCAGAGAATTTACGAATGTCCGGGAGATCTTCGATCATCTCCATAAATTCAGCGAGATAGAAGTGCTTGCTTGGATCAGATACGTATGTGCCCCAAGCAATGGCACGTGGGATTCCTTCTAAAGACCGATGTACAAAGTCAGAGCTGTGTCAGTGTTCATCTACCTAGGTCGCGTACCTGGAGTGTACCCATGCAAGGTTTTGACGCCATAGTATTCTCCTCTTAGCATACTCATGCCTAATTCCCCACTGGAGACCTTCAGGAAATACTTCTTGGGGGTTCCATCGGCTAGTTGAACATCGATACGCGCAGTGCGTGTCCAGAAGCTAGCGCCGTGTGATTTTGCTCCCATCACTTTGCATCCCGGCGGTAACTCTTGGTGGCGATCAGTCCAGTTCTTGTCAGCACTCGGGAGATTTACTTACGTTCAACGATGGCTTGGTCTACATCAATAGCCTGCGACGTAAGTTGTTTCGTTGGCTCTGGTATCCAAGTAATTTCCGTCATGCTTTGAAGCGAGTTCGAGATGGTCTATGTGGGTCGACAATAGTTTCAAGGCTGGCACTGACTAGAAGATTTGGCCTTACAAGGTTGAGTGGGTATTAAATCTGGATGAAGAGGGGCATCGGCGGGGTCGTCATTTGGGGCGAGGTTCCACAGAGCGGGTGTTACATAGAGCTTTAAACCCGATTGGTTGGCCAGTGAGGGATGCAGGATGCGGGTGAGAAGGAATGGCTGCCCAGCTGCCACCCAATGTCCTCTGCTCTGCAGGCGCTCACCGGCACACGCCACTCATGCGCATTCGTATCGCCTCGATTGCACGCGATTAGGAAGGCGACAACACATCGTTGCGCTGACCAATTGGTCTGACCCACTACCTGGCTGTGGCTTGGAACATCATTGCTTTTGCGGCTGTTTGCTGAAACCCATTTCCACTCCGCTGTCGTATCTTGTTATGTCTTTATAGGTTAATTGGTTGCATTTTCGGGAAGAGTCTGACTCTGCATTGCCCCATGTACACTAGCCTGACCTTCTAGCGACCTGTTTTCATCTCCAACTCCACTCAATCTCGCCAGCTCCACATCTTTAGAGACCCAACTGTTCTCACTGTTTGTCCAGGCAGCACGATAACTCGACTTTCTCTAATCAAGTCCATGCGATGGATGACGTAAGAGGCCCACAGCTTTTGGTCTCACATGAACGACTGATCCAATGTTACAGGATGTCAGCGATCTCCCCGACATCGATAAGAGCATCGAAAAGCGGAAAACTGCGAAGACCAGCAGTGCCAGCAGTGCCAGCATCGCATCTTTCGGCTCATCTATAGGCCGAAGATTCAGCTTCAAATCGTTCTCTAGTCGCAAACCAACGACCAAAGTCGAGAAGCCACGGAACGAATTTGGCCTAAATACTGTATACGAACCGGACGAAACTTCGGCAGTCATCGCAGACCTTGTTTTTGTGCATGGTCTCGGCGGTGGTTCCAGCACAACATGGTGTCTCAAGCAAGACGCCGATTACTTTTGGCCAAAAGAGTGGTTACCTAAAGACCCAGACTTCAAAGGAGTCCGTATCCACAGCTTTGGATACAACGCGAATTGGGCCACCTGGCTGAAGAGTCCGGTCGACATCCATGCTTTCGGTCAGTCTTTAGTCGAAGACCTGAGGAGCGATCCAAAGATCAATAATCTGGATAGTCGCATTATCCTTGTAGGGCATAGCATGGGTGGTTTAGTGATCAAGAAAGCATGCGTCTTATCTAAGACTAATCCGGATTACAGCGACATCGCTAACCGATTACATTCGTTGTATTTCCTGGGTACTCCCCACCGAGGCTCGAATCTCGCTGGTGTTTTAAACAATTTCCTTCGCCTGTCTGGAAGTGGAAGAAGAGCGTACGTATCCAGTTTGCAAGCTAAGTCAGAGAGTATACGTATTCTGAGCGACTCCTTCCGTATTCATTATGCGGGAATACATTTGCACACATTCTACGAGTCTCAGCCCACACCTCCTGTTGGAATGATCGTCGATCAAGAATCCGCTACTCTAGGTCTGCTAGCCGATAATAGCCATGGATCTAATACTGACCGTCATAGGTTACGCTGAAGAACGCATCCAGTTGTTAAATGCGAACCATCGCGATCTAGCCAAGTTCGAGACTACACTGGACTCAAACTACAGGTCTCTAAGAAACCGTCTGGCATCAACAATCGATCAGATAAGGCTCGAAATGCAGAAGCAAACAACACCATCGAATTTCTCAAGTATGGGGATTGGTATCAAAACTCCCGATGCGTCGGTACTGCGATCTTTACCAGAGCTGTATCAAAGTAGGGCGAACGAGATGGAGGAGATCGCTAAGTACCTCTCCATCGATGCATCAGACGACAAAAGGCTTTCAACCCTCAATAACACAAGAATGACTGGATCAGGTTCCTGGCTCACTAACAGAACCAGTTTTCGGGAGTGGCGGTCGCCACCAGCACCTCGCTATTTCTGGCTGAAGGGGACACCGGCGTCGGGGAAGTCAATGCTCGCAAGTTATGTTATTGAGTTCTTACAAGACAGCCCCGTATGTCACTACTTCTTCAACAAAGGTGATAAGACCGACAACAACGTGAGCAGCTTTCTACGCTCCATGGCGCTACAGATGGCTCAGATCAACCCTGTCGTTCGTAGCGCGATTTTCCGGCTTTCACAGAAAGGTCCACCCATCGATGCTCGCAACCAGAGAACCATCTGGAACACTGTTTTCACGAGCTGTGTGTTTCACGTTACATTCCCTACCCCGTAAGTGTTTTGCAGCTCCTATGCAGGGCGGAACTCACACAACCGCTGCAGTCATTATTGGGTGGTTGATGCATTAGACGAAGCAGCCGACAGGGGCACATTAAATGAATGTTTCAGTCTACTGTCCAAGATCGACGAAAACATCCCACTGAAGATCTTCGTCACCAGTCGACCAGATCCCGCATTGGATGATTTGTTCGTGCAGCTTCCTCTGGTGCAAGAATACATATCGCCAGAGGATTTGTTGCCCGATATCTCCTCGTACGTCCAGAAATGGTCCGCCACCTTCCCCGTTAATACAACTCAAGAAAGAGAAAGATTGGTTGACAAGATTGTTCGCATGTCTGGCGGTAGCTTCTTGTGGACCGTGCTAGTGACTAAACAGCTTCGGGAAGTTTTCACTGTCGGAGAAGTTCACGAGGTTCTATGCGAGATTCCTCAAGAAATGGATGACCTATACACGCACAACATCCGGAAAATGGAGTCCCTGAGGTCAAAGAGCGCAGCAAAGCATACAATTACATGGGCAATCTGCGCTGTGCATCCCTTGACCGTAAACCAGATGAAGGATGCTATCAGGCTGACTCTGGGAAGTCCTATAGCACGCGATCTACGAACCAGTCTCCAATATCTTTGTGGATACTTCCTCGATATTGATGTGCAGTCGCGGGTACAGCTAGTTCACGAAACAGCCCGCACTTTTCTCACTCATCCGGATCTGAACTCAGACTTTCGAATTGACTATGCCGAAGGACACAGTCTTATTGCATCGGCTTGCCTCAATCATCTGATGAGCGATGAATTGAGTTATTCAAGGAGACGGCGTAGCTCCACTACGAGCGGGCACAGCAAGACTTCAATGACTGACTACGTATGTTTACGGTTCAGCGAACACATTCTTCGAGCATCCTCCCAGTCCAACGAACTGTTCAACACGTTAGACAAGTTCTTCAGAACAAACGTGCTTTCCTGGATCGAGCACGTGGCCCATCTCAAAGATTTGGACTGTCTTAATCGAACTTCAAGACACCTGTCGAACTACCTCAACCGCAGGATGGAGCATGTTCCGTTATTGCAAAGCGATCTTCATGCCTGGGCCGTCGACTTACCTAGGTTGGTAACACAGTTCGGCGTCAATCTTCTGAGCGATCCCGCTGCCATCCACACACTCGTGCCGCCGTTTTGTCCTCGAGACTCTGCTGTATACCGGCACTTCGGATATGCTGAGGATGGCATCAAGCTAGTAGGCGCGTGGAACGCAGGTTGGGGGGATAGGATATGCTCCATCTCATATCATGACACCTACGCGACAGTGGCTGCTTCTCGAGACGAACGATTCGCTGTTGGGTTGGCTGACGGCTTGGTCAATGTCTATCGAACCTCCACGTGCGAACACCTCCTGAGTATGAGACATGAAGAATCAGTATCAGTTCTGGAGTTTGGTTCCACATCCAAAGTCATCGCCTCAGCTGGTTTGCGGTTTCTAAGACTATGGGATGCGGCGACTGGCGTTCAACTCTTCCACATCGCTACCGATTCGCAAACCCTAGCTTTGACTTTCGACGAGACAGAAACGTCGGTTACAATAGCGACCAGAGACAAGCATGTTCTGACTTACAGAATTTCCGATGGCTCACCGCTACACCAGGTCCCCTGGATTGACGCTTTCTCTGAAGACACAGACTCAGGCTTTGCACCATCTCCGTCTGCGGCCAGGCTATCTACAGAACAACAAACACTTGCGATAGTCTATCGAAGCAAGCCGGTACAGCTGTGGTCTCTGGACAAGCAGCACCGTATCGGGGCTTGCTTGAGACCGGCAACGCACAGGAATGACAAGGGAGGCCACACCGTCAACTGTGTAGTCTTCAATACCAGCTCTGCAAACCCACGACTTCTGGTGTCATATTGGGACGACATCCTGGTCAAGTTCGATAGTAGGACTTGCAAGCCGCTCCTCACAACTGCGACATGCGTTACGAAGATAGCTATGTCTTGTAATGAAAAGACCTTTGCTGGAAGCGACGGCAATGGCGGGATCAAGATTTTCGATTTCGAGACGCTCCAACCTCTTCACAACATACATATACAAGGAGATCCGGTATCGTCGCTCGCCTTCACTAGCGACAGCCTGCGCATCGTGGATTCGCGGGGTACGCAAGCCAATGTCTGGGAGCCACTCGTCCTCTTCGGGCAAGACACTGAAGCTCTCTCCAGCGAGCCTAGCGAATCTGTGCACCAAATAGTAGACGACATTGTTGAATCTGTTGTCAACGAGTCTGCTATCATAACCACCCTGCACTGTTGCGATCAAAGTGGTATGGCTTTCTGCGGGCGCAACGACGGACGTGTCGATACCTGCAACCTCGACGACCCCGAGAACACTATGCGCAACCTATACAAGCATGGTGGGTCCTTCATTAGTATTACATGCATGGACTGGAGTCCTAGAGCGCGTGTGATAGCGAGTGCAGACTCTGCAGGAAAGTTTTGTATCATGAAAATCACGACTGGCACACGGAGAGAATGGAGCGCTGAGATGATGGTCCAGTCGAGGTTAGGCCAAGGCTGTATTATACGACAGATCCTCGTCCACCCTGAGGGTTCGTTCGTACTTGTTTCCTCATCAGAGGCGGACTCTATATGGTCATTATCAACCAAGGAGCAAGTAGCGTCACTTGACAGGCGCGAGCGCATATCTTGGAAATGGTTTGTTCGGCCATCCGCTCCGTCACAACTGCTTCTTTTTGAGGACAAGATCCTGCGGCTTTTCAGATGGGAGGACCTCCACCAGATCGCTGCCTCTGAAAACCCCGTGGTGCCGATCGAAATGGAGAGGCGCATGTCCGGGGAACAAGCAGACGCGGATGCCATCTCTGTCTCAAGCGAAGGCGATGACCTGGTCATTCTGCAGCGATCGCAAACCGTGCAGCAGAGTGTACCGGGCCTGCGACCCCAGTCTAATGACGTTATGATGACCAAGATACGCGTCTTTGATCTGACTACTCTGGATCCCGAGTCGACTGATATCGGAGGCTCGTCGTCGCCTGACATGTCAATTGACAGCGCGGCACAGTCTCTTGTCTTCTTGAACCCCAAGCCATCTTCAACCCTGGGTATTCCTCTATCGCCAACGGCTACGCCCAATGTCCCATTCACTTATCCTTTCGGAGGCGTTCGTAGCAAGTCCTATACTCGCTGGTCTTCCATTAGAGATGTCGCTGATATACCCGATGTGGAGAGAATCATTGGTACGGTGAAAAAGTTCGATTGGTGGCATCTTATTTTCCTTTCCAAGATGGGGTGGGTCTGCTCGGTTCAGATCGGGGAAGGCGGTCGCAAAGTCCTCGACCAATTCCAGAAGCACTTCTTTGTACCATCGGTTTGGCGCACAGGCAACTCGCCTCTTATCGCCAAGGTACGGCGGAGCCACGACATCGTGATCGTACACCAAGATGGCGTTATTGTGGTCAAGAATGGGTTAGACAACGGAGAGCATGTGTCCTTCTCTTTGAGTACGCTATAAACGGGTTCCTCGAATAGATTGCCAAGTAATGGCCAAGTGGTATTTTGAGAACCTGTAGCCCAATGTGAAGACCGGACAACGCTCTTTTGCTATTGAAAACATGTCAATCTTCATCCCATCCATCGCCTGATCTAGTGGCATCCATGTAGTCGACTACATTCTCCTCGCTTTCCGTAATATCCAACGGGTCGCCTCCCATCCTGAAAGAGTACACCTGCAGTGAGACATTGGCAGCTTTGCATCTGACACGAAGGTGCAAAGCCTGGCTCTTGTGGTTAAGTGCAATCAGCAACACCCATCCCTCTTCGCATGCCTCGCGGTCTGCAACCGCTACAAGCAAGGTTTGATGGGTATTTTCGTACTCCTCACCTATCATCTGAATCACACTGCTTCCTTCCATCGCGTCGGGGCATCTGACCAGAGCGCTTAAGATGAAAGGTGGTATACCATCCATCAGCTCGACCTCGTCATCGGCGTCCCGTGCCGCCACTCCGTAGGCGGCATCGTTGTCGTCGAACACAAAAGGCCCAAACAAATCTTCGTCGAAGTTGTAGTTGTGTTCCGGACAGCACGTTACTTTCTGCCATAGTCGGGAATATGCCTCGTCGGCACTTGCGCGTGTAACAATCTCTTCACCCAGGTTCTGCCCATGAGATGCTTCATTGCCATACCATGTTCGAATCCATATAGCACCAGCAGCACGATTCCACCCGCCTGAATCTGTCACTTTACGGCGCTTCTCGAAGACTGACAGATTTGACGGAATGTGTTGAGGAAGAGGTATATCGTCGCATCGCTCGCGGTAAAGCTGATCAAGACGCGCGTTAGTAAATAAAATTCGGACGTGCCCACAAAGTGGGATAGGTAAATCCTACCGAACGGCCACGCTCACCGAGGTGGATCCAGGCTTTGATAAGGTTCCGTTCTTGCTCGTCTTGGTGTAGAGATGATTCTGGGACCCATTTCTCCTTTTTCTCCAGATCAGCCGCGTTCGATAGAGCTTGGTCGTGCTCGCTGTGCTATGTAGAACGCGCAGAGTGCAATCTGACGTACTAGGAGGAAATGATCAGAAGGTTCCCAGCCGAACGAGGGCTCTAATGACTGCGAACTGGCCATTGAGTTCGATGCCGTCGAGTTGGAATAGAGCGCATGTGGTTGTGATGTGAGAAGACGTGAACAGGCAGCAGTTTCGGCTGCTGTTCTTGGCGTGTGCAGTGTCTCTCTCATTGGCTCAACTGATCCTTCAAAGATCGCAAGCCGATCTTAACAGTATTGAAGTTACTTCGCTATCCTGTTCCTGGGGTCTGTGACAAGGTCTGTGACGAGGTACTTGATCGGAGGCCGCGGCAACAAGTACAATGCAAGCTTTCGCTTTTTGGAAATCCCATCAGGCGACCGCTTCGCCGAAGGATTTGCGCGTGGCATTGCTTTCCTCCAGATTCGCTTGAGTGAAAGGGTGTTCTGAGAAGAGGTAGGGTCGACGATCGCGTCGAACGATGTTTTGTCTCTGATCATGGGTGGCATGGTGTGATAGGCTGCGATTGACGTGTACGTTGGTGGGGCGGAAATGTAGAGTTAAAAATGAAATGTCTCTAGATTGCTAGAAATATATGCTGTTGATGTTTGGGACGTGGAGCGATGAACCACGGGTCAGTCTTGCAGAGGATGAGGGGCTGTAGCATCTGTGCCGAGGGAACCAATGAGTCGATTTGTATATGTACTCTCCGGATTGTTTACCGATGTGTAAAAGCCAAATTGCAGGCTCAGATTAGCAGAACTTTGCCGTCGCCGGAAACAGCGGTTCTGCGGCAAGGAGAGCATCCCCTGTTTAACGAGCCTGCTTTAGCATGGGGAGCTATGGTAAAAAGGCAACGTCACATGTGCTTAGCGCGGCGATGTCGAGAGCACGCAAAATGAGCTTCCGCACAGCCATCGTGCGCAATAACAAGACTTGATGTTACTATAATGCGGTGTTGAGGAAGCAGATTCCAGGTCTCGGGTTGATGATTGTTGGATGCAGGTCCGGAGTGACGGCGATGATCTGGGCCTGGGCAATGCGGAAGCTACCCCGGGCGGGCCAACGACGTCAGGGCAGGAGCCACCCAGCCATCCTTGATGTCTCCACTCCAGCACGTCTACACGGACGGTACACCTCACCACGACACCTCACAGCCCTCACCGCATCGCGACACGTACTATCCCCCATATAAGCCATCGCGCATCCATGAGCGCTATCTCCGCGCTGCATGTGGCAGACTCTGCGACAATACCATCGTGATTTTGCCATCCCGGGTTCCAAACGGTCACGCATGGCTTCTGGCAGCATTGGCGACGTGCCTGCCGCGACTTTTGCTGAGTACGTAGACGATCCTTTCTTCGACCACGGTGATGAGGCGGGTGCATCGCAATCGCAGACATCGCGGGAAAAAGAGGATGACTTCATCGAGAATGCGCCGCCTGCCGATGCACCGCAATTGGCGCTGGCGCAAAGACCCGAAGCGCCGTCGCGATGCATCGCAGTGCGCCCGGCTCTCACCCACCGTCTCTACTCTCATCGCCTCCATGTGCGGGCCAAAGCTAAGCTGCAACGCGATAGACTTCTCTCCGGCCCTATGATCGACGTCTACGTAGGCGAGTCCAAGCGCCACTGGTCGCTGCATCGCAATCTGCTATGCCACCACTCCGAAACCCTCGAGAACGAGCTGCTAGGCGATGCCGACGGCCACACTAGGAAAGATCGCCTCGATCTTCCCGATTACAACCCTGCCGGCTTCGAGCTGCTGGTGAAGTGGCTATACCAGGGCAGCCTCGACGATGTCTCTGACATGGCCGACGCCAACCAGAAGTATGAGTATGCTGTGAGCTGTCACAGACTCTATCTGCTTTGCGATCGCTTTGACATGCTTCAACTGAAGAACGTCGCGATGGATCAGTACAGAAAAGGCCTAAATGAGGCCGAGCTAGTACCTGACGCTGACGAGATCGATGACATCTATCGCAAGAGTCCGACAGGGTCGCCCTTCCGCACGCTCATGACGCGCATCGCGGCCCGCCAGATCATGGATCCTGGTAGTGAGCGCGACGTCGAGACCTATCGCGAGTGCTTCGAAAACAACCCCGACTTCGCCATCGATCTGGTCAAGGCAATCAGGTCGGGCACTGGAGGCATGCTGTTCGACGATCCAACGGATGAGGGTCATGAGTGCGACTACCATGACCACGAAGCTGGCCCGAACTGCCACACAAAGGGCAAGGGCAAAGGGAAGCAAGGTGTGTGACTCCGACCTCTCCCAAGCCCACTCGGCACCCTATCAGCCATCTCGCTGCTGTCAAAAACGCGTAATAACGTCCATTAACCAGCAAAGAAGAAAGCCGGCCTGTCATCCGCCAAATCAGTCCCCTACATAAGCTCCGACCAGCACAACCGCCCTCCCCGCCCTCCTCCCCCGAAGACGCCTCGCCCGCCTCATCCCCTGCAAGCTCGCCCACAAGAGGGAAGCGCCGGTCCTCTCCGCCGTCGCCTGACAAGTCCGGCGAGCTCGACGGTTGGCACATCGACGGAGATGGCAGTCGCCAGTCAAGCACCCAATCTCGACGCGATTCGCGAGAGGGAGAAGGACAGGGAAAAGCTGCGCAGAGTGACGCCGCCGGAGAGAAGACGCCTGGAGCGGGCTCAAAGCAGTGGAACGGAGATACAGAGGTCACGCCCAGTCCTAGAAGAGCGCCGCCGAAGCTCAGACGACGCGTCTCACCCACACCAGAATAGCCAGCTTGAAGACCAAGCATTGAGGGAGCTCGAGGGAGGACCGGTGCAGCCACCACAGCGATCACCGACGCGTCGAGGCATCTGGGAATGGGCGAAACTAGGGACGGGCAGGCTGAATGTCATCGGACGCATACCCCATCCCGAATGGAAGGGCCCGACTGCGTCGCACGAAGCTGTCGCGAATGGCAATTCGCGAATCACTACCATTCATGAAACCCATGACGATTTCAGCATCCCCTCCACAACGGCTACCGAGACGAACAATCTGCAAGAATACAACCAAGCGATGGCAGCTAAGCTCGAAGGCTTTGGCTTCCCACACGCTCACATTATCACGTCGCCACACTTCTCGCAGACAAAACGCTCTTCCGATGACCTTGTTGCTGCATCATCTACAGCGAGCACGCCAGCAAATCTGAATCTTGTTCTAGAGGGTGGGACGAACGGCGAGCGCATTACACCGCAGGCCTCGAAAGACAGCCCGCCGTTGACGCCGGACACCCCGACACCGCAACAGCGCAGAAAAGACTCGACGATCGAGACGGAAAGCACACCGACGAAGGTCGCCTCCGACAGTGCAAAGGCAGAGATCGCTGATCCACCTCTGAATGGCGTCAAGAAGACCTCTACTCCTACTCCTACTCCTGACCGCATCCCCAAGTATCGGATTGCGCTTTCTTCGAATTTCCTTTCACCAGCTCGCAACAGTCCGAGTTCGGCATCTTAGTTTTTTACGATCAAAAGCGATACCCTGTACGTACATATAATTTAACGACTAGCGAATCTTGTAATGCAATTCAAATATTCACGAAACGCGCAATAACATCCACTGGCTATGGGCCGCGATACCATCACAACACTTGACATGCGCCAATAGATTCATCTCGAGAGAACTTTCCCTCTCCTCTCAAACACCCTAGGACTTGGCTTGAGTCGGGCACGGAGCTTGGACGCATTGCACTGTCCCTTTGGAATGTGACAATCGCAACCACGGTGAACACATGTTCCCGCAGCCTTACAATAGGTCTGTCCTCGTGGTGACTAATATCTCTAATATCTTGAAGGCGTGTGTTAGTAGAGTAGTCACGGATCTAGACATTGCTAAAGTTTGCAAAGTACTTAGAGACTTAATCTAGTAGAAACAAAGTAAAGGTAAAAGTATTAAAAATCTAAGCTATAAAACTAATATAGACACCTAAAGTAAAGTTAAAAAAAGTAAGTCTTAATAAAGGTA